CAGGGATTATTATGGAGCCTTCTCCAAAAATGTAAAATCAATATCCATATTCAACAGTGCGTCCCCTTACTCTCTCCTCTCAGGGCCCTCTGTCCGTCTTCTCAGCCAAGCAGCGGTGGACGGTCCCACGAACAATACGACTCCGCCCAGAAGACAGAGACCTGGGTTTCACCCTGAAAGGCGAATCGCCAGTCCAGGTGGTTTCATTGGACCCGCTATGCCCAGCTGCTGTGAGTTAACAGATCTCTTTCTCTTTCACAGAACAGGGCAAGATTGAGTTTCTATAATGTAGTCACTGCTTAGTTTCAGCGAATGTCAGTATTGCATAAAAACCATGCTGTCTTGCATAGACTTGAAATCATCATACGGATCATCATAAAATATATTTGTTATCAAAGTTCTCTGATGCAGTTTGATTGGGTTTTTTTGCCCCTTAATAGTTAAACTATGATTTACTCTTCATTAACTGATGAACTCATTCAACACAGAGTTTTCAGTACGGCAATTTAACAAACAGGTTTTGTTTTAGAGCAGGGGCCGAGCTAAGTACTCTCTACTTTCAAACTTGAACAAAAGCCAGATGCAAAGGTTGTTAAATCTGAACTCTGTGCAGCAGCATGAACCAGCAGTGAGTGAAATTTAGAAAAGAAAGAAAACCTAAACAGGATTTAGGCCTTTTGAGTGTTTGGAGGCTCTCTCCTCCCCCTCCTCATCCACTCTGGCAAGTAATTGAATTAAAAATCAGAGTATTTACTCTCTACAATCCTTTTCAGTCTGACTGCTCATTAGGAGGTGCTGACAATGAGCAGACTCTTATTATGCCCCGCAGCCTATGCAGAGAAACAGATAAGTAGTGTTGCATAAGCTAAACTAGGTCAGACTCTTTATAACGTTTAATGCTGCATTCAACACGATTTTATAACCAACGGATTCTCTAGAGTTGCTAATCTGCCTTCAAGCTAACTCAGATTAAGTTATTGGACTGAAATAGCTCAGAATGTGTAGATAACACAGATTTCCCACAGCTATGAAATAATGTTCTCTTGACACAGACTCTACACACTTTAATTCCCTACTTTGTTTGAGACTAAACCTCAGTGTTTTCTCTGCTGATCCCCTCCACCTCCAGGGTGTTGAAGGAAAGTAGGTGAACCAGTCTTTCAAACAAACTCCACTGTAAACATTTACTCTGCACTGCCACAGCATCAGCACACCTCACTATAATCCTCCTCTCTTAATGCCTCTTCTACCTCAATGTCTTTCTCAGGCCGATGGGCTCAAAGAAGGAGACTACATTGTTGCCGTGGGTGAGATTGACTGCAAATGGTTCAGTGTGGGCGATGTGATGCGGCTGCTGAAGGACGTGGACGAGGAGGGGATCGACATACAAGTGGTCAGCATGATGGACAGCAATCCTGCCGTGGTAGGCCCCGCCTTATTTTCTTCCGACTCACTGAGAGGAAAGAGAAAAGTAATCTCTCGAACAGTGTGACAGCAAATTTGCTCTTAGTATCAGATGACTTGACAGAGTGTCAGGTTTCTCCTTGAAGGTAGTGTTTCTTAAGTAAGCAGTCCATACAGTTTCTCATGAGAAATAGACCTTTGAATGTGACCTTATTCCATCTGTTTAATACACGCCATGTGTATTAAACAGATAAAATTCGAATGAATTCATTTATATGATTCTGTGTATGTTTTATCAAGTGTTAAAACAGCAACAAAGTGACAAAACTTAGATGCCACCATATTGACTCCATCTGTTCAATTTGGTTAAATTGTATTTGTATAGCACCGAATCACAACATACATTACCTCAAGGCAATTTGACTTTACATATAGCAGGAGATCAGCGAGAGGACTAACCACAAGCAAGTGGGTGTGTTAATGACACAAGCTGGACGCAGAACTGAAAAACGAAGCAATAAGAACCCATATATCTCAGGATAAGAGCAGACGCTGGTGTAGATGTGCTGTAAACAAAAACATGTGACCTCGGCGGTGTAATTAATTTTTTTATTAGCGTCACGTTTCTGACCGTGTTCTGTGATGATCACATGTGAAAGGTAAACTCTGGAGAAAGTCTGACCCAGTTGTGTGGACGTTCTCCTGAGTTCATGTCTAAAAAAACAGCTAAAGTAATGTGGAGACCTGACAATTGTACAGAGAAACAGTTTCCACAATTAGCAAACATATAGCAACAGTGGAAAGAAACAACTCACTTCAGCAGGAAGACCATCTGGGTCCACTGGTTGGGATGAGAGAAGAGAAATGGGGGAGAGAGGAGAAGGGGGAGAGGAGAGAGAGAAGAAAAGATGAAAAAGAGAGAGAGATAGACCAGGGAGAGCTGTTGTATTTAAGCACTGTCATTGGCTGTTTTAATGACAATAATAACGGTGATATTTATAGATATAATTAATGTTATTACTGATAACAGCAGCAGTGATAGCAGCATATGGTAATAACAGTTAAATCACTTTATTTGGAGAATGAACACAATGTGTTGACTTGGACTTGACCCCTTGAGATGCCATCAAGGTTGAAAAGGGGTGTGGCTAGGGTCTAGACACTGATGACGTTGAGGATCTGATGAGATGAGACGACTCACTCGAGCTCGACCAGGTCCCAGACATGGAGACTACAGGTGACGGGAGAAGGAGGGTTTACAGGGAGTCACTGAAATGACAGCTGACAGCGGTTGGACAGGAAAGACATAATTGGCTGATTGTGATCGTGGCAAAATCTGGTTGGATTACCATAAACAATGGCCAGTCAGCTGAATACAAGAGGCAGGGAGAGTGAAAGAAAATAGTGAATCAATGGGACATAGAGGAAGTTTGATTGATCTTATTAGCTTGATTTGTAATAATGATAATAATGATAAAGATAATTGAATAAACCACTAATTCTCTCTCTCTCTCTCTCTCTCTCTCTATCTCTCTCTCTCTCTCTCTCTCTCTCTCTCCATCAAGCCTACGAAGAGTGCCACCTTCAGTGGAAACCTGCCGAAGACCTACTCCATGATCTGTCTGGCCTACGACGACGAAGACAAGAACTCCAAATCCCGCAAAGTGGTTAAGAAGTCGTCCTTCCTCAGCTGGGGTCTGAAGAACAGGCTAAAGAGCGCCAGCACGCTCAGCCTCCCCACGGCAGACAACTCCGGCGGGGCGCCCTGGAACAAACCCTGTCCCACCTTCCCCAGCTCCAGCTCTTACAACGACAGCGTCCTGTACTGAACCAGCCGCAGAACTTTGGATCGTCTGCAGACATCGTGCAGTATCCATACTGAGCCCAACATGGCTGCATATAGTACTGTGCTGTACGCATACTGCACCTGCAATGGTACAGTGTCAGTGCCCTTTGGTGTTTTCACTGGAACACTGAGCAGAAGTGTGTGTAGCTTGTGTGTCAACAATGTGACATTACTGCCAGCTACCTTGGAAAGTGGCTGTGCCAAATACTGCATACTGGTGCCCTAGTACAGGGGTGCCTTCATCAGTACAGTCCAGTACCTGAAGTAAACTGGACTGTAAACTAAAACATAATGGAAAGTCATTGTGCACCATGCCAGTCTGCGTACAGCACATTACAACTGCACTGTGGGAAAAAATATAATTCCAGGCTATATCTATATATATACAGCACTTAGAGAGGTTTCTAGGTGAAACTGTCATCTCACTGTGTTTTCTGGAAGGAACGCTCCAGACGAATTCAATTGACAAAAACAAAAGTTGTAAGAACACACCCAGCGACGTTCGCTCTACTCGACCGCAGGGGAGTGATTTTAATGTGGCTTACCCCTTTTTAGTGCCATTGTGAACTGATGTGGCTGTGCACTGGGCAGTTATGTCCTGTGTGCATCCTCAATACATGTTTGTTTGATACTGTACATGCGAAGGCGTTGGTCATTGCCACAATATTTGTTGCAATCAGTGGACACTGATCATTTTTGGGGTAAAAAAAATGCATATATTTTCTCAGTAGATATGTAGACGTAACCTAGTTGCAGTATGTTAAACATTGATTGAGGGAAACAAAATTAGCTGTGCAGTTGTTTTTTTTGTCTTAGGAGAATTGATAAATGCAATATTCTATAAGCTGCTAAAAATGTATATATATATACTTTGATTCCATATTATTGTCACTTTTGTATTTGCGAGACAGCCTTTGAGGATTATTATTGCCTGGGACTCGTTGGAAATGGAAATGTTGGCCTTTCTGCTTAATGTACCAGTTATGCCACAAACCAAAATGCCTCCATATCCCCATTTTGCCAGTTCATACCTTTACCTGACTAATCTTAACCTCATCAGTGCTGCCACTGTCTGGCAGTTTGTCCATCTGTAAGACGAGCACGAGTTGTCTGTCTCTAGTAATGTGAATCGTCATTCAGAAGGGAAGAATGTGGGCAGACTAATGACATTCCTGCATTGAACCCAGACAGCCGGTCACCCAACAGTGACTTCGATCAAAGCCCGCCGTCAGGTTTCTATTTGTCTCTACCTGTCTTCATCCTCGTCACATCCAACATTCACCTGACACTTTGCAGTGTTGGACTATGGCTTTATCTACAAAGTAGATTCTTATACACATTTGATAATCAAATTATTTATGTAACGAAAAAAGTACACACAAAAATATATATTTACCTGTATGTTGTAGGTTTCAGAAGTAGTTTGTGAATGGTCAAGTTGTGAATTTTTGCACGTCGGATTTCTAGGTTGGTGTCTTTGAGGAATGTATTTTACTAGCCTTGCTTAATCCTTTGGTGAACATATATACTGATACATGTTGTCTTTGTAAAGATATTTTAAAATGTAAATGTTTTAAGACAGTAACACTGAGAAGATGTAACAATCTGTTTACCTTATAATGGTGTCTGAAGTGCCATTTATACTAAATCATGAAGGAAAGTTTCATAATAACAAGAATGTGCAGTAAATGGTTCATATTAGTAAGTGCCAACTAATTGTGCTAACAGAGGGAAGATGATTTAAACAGATCTTTGCACTCATTTCACAGTGCACAGTGATCTTAAACGCCTGGGTGTATATGCAGAGGGTTATGCTTCCTGCTCTTCTGAGGTTTCAGATTGCCTTTGCTGCTTTATCTGTACTCATAGCAACTGTGGTGTAAATGCATTGTTGGTAAGTCTTTGTCTCATATTTGTAAACTCAAATGTCAATAAAATGGGGACCAAACAAGTTTCCTGGGTTTTGTTTTTAATATTCCGTGCAGCTCAGTTGCTGCAACTGTCGAGCAGGTTGGGAATGACTGGAATGAAGTTTGACCACAGGCCTCAGCGAGCCGACACTCACTAAGTCAACACTCATGGGTTTGTAGCTGTTTAAAGTCGGGCCTGAGCTCACATGGCTTCCTAATCCACCATCATTGAAGCAGAGGAGAAACACCATGTGATTAACATTTACCCAGCAGGCCTTTCTTCATCCATACCATTCATAACAAGGCAGGTACTTGCGGGTGATGAATCCTCCGAAGGGTAAATTCTCTGTGGATATTCAGATTTATTTTTACAGGACTTTTGAATATTACAAGAATCAAATCTGTTGACTTTTGGTAACAGGATTCTTATTTCAACCATTCCTCAAGACAAAGGACAGCACTTGATATAACTCACACTGAATTTGTCAGATGATACACAGCCAAAGGGGAAAACCCTTTTTTAACAAGTATATTTTCTCAATTAACTGCACAGAACAAGTGTGTTTAACTACATGGATTAAGGTTTCAAAACAAAATTCTAAAGATTTACCGTGATAAATATATAGAGATTTAAGACTTTTTGAATCTGGATCTTTAATCAAAATTATTTGCCAGATTTGTTTTAGTTTGAAACAGTTTAAAGCATACTGAAAAAGAAAGTGGACTTTAAAATAATAATACAACATATTTGATTGGTCAACAATGTAATGCGTGTGGTGAGTACTTTATGTATTTTATACATAGGCTGCTGTGTTGCACATTGTTTGCAGTATCAATGTCACATTTATTTTATTGAAGAAAGAAGTTTATCATTAAATGGAGCGATACCGCCGCCTATTGGTCAGCCGGCCTGTTGTTAAGGACACCGTTGCTAGGTGAACTATATCAGTCGCTGATTGGCCTCCTGCTTCGCTCTCAGCCAATCACCGCTCCTGTTGTTCGGACGTGTCTCCTGCTCCTGGATACAGGGAGCGTGTGTTGACCAGCCTGTTGAATCCAGCTGCTGCACATCTGGCAGTCCCAGCCGGAGACATGGCAGAGTCCAGACCTGTCTGACGTCTGCAGACTGACAGAGCACGAGGGTCCGGTCTCAGCTGGAGCAGTAACTCAGCTGAGGGACACGTCCCACACTTCTTTGACACCATGTTCAAAAAACTTCAGAGGGACAAGGACAAGGAGTTTGTAAGTTCGGAGTCTTCCAGGGAATAAATGAAGCTGTTCCTGGGTTTAGCATGCTAACAGGCTCGTGTTTACATTTCTGCTGGAGCTGAGGGTTGCTACTCAACATTCAAGCTAACGTGTGGTCACGGTAGTTTTGGCACTGATCACACATCTTGTGCTGATCGCAATTAGTGTGGTTCAGCCAAATGAGACCAGTCATTGATTCACAGTGATTTATTGTCCCACTGTTGTGTAAACATGTCAATGTGTAGCATCTCGTTCAGATCAGATCAGACCTCTGTCTGTCCTCTTACTGAGCTTCTCCTCAGTTCCAGTGCTTATTCTCATTGTCTGTTCCTTGCAAAGCACTATTTAACATTGTTCACAAAAGTGCTGTGTGAATAAAGTTGATTATTCTTATTATTAATAGCTTCCCTCTTCAGTCATTCCCATAGAACCAACACTGTGTGAGTTAATGTGTCTTACAGTTTGTCTATGTTACTCTAACCCTCTCCTTTACCTAAGCCCTATGTGTGTGTGTGTGTGTTGTGTAGAAGCATATAGCCCCTGGTTTGATCCCCGCCGCCTCCATTGCTCCTAAACCTGCGGTGCCTCGTACCCCACCCCCCCGCAGTCCAGATCCCTCACCTGAGAGACCCAGGTACCTAACGCTCCTCACTAGTTTAACTTGCTTCATCCTTTGATTTTGTTCTCTTGCGTTGTTTTCTGTAAGACTTGTCTTTTTTAATATTTGCATGCACCAAATTGTAATTCCCTCTGTATCGTCCTCAGTGTCTCTCAAGGGTCACGTTTTCATCAGCTGACAGGCAATATTGTCCAAAGGTTAACATCTTGCTGCCAGATGATAATACATCGTTGACCCATGTGATAAAGTTGATGTTTCTACATTTTCCAAACAAGTACATATGGAAAAGTTGAATTCTGGTTACTGTTGCCATTATTGATTCACTCATAACTTATCGCCATCATGCATTTTCCTATCGTTACCATGAACTCAGTCGATAGAGGGGAGTTCATTTTCTTTGTTGAACATACTGCACCTTCTTCATAAGGAAACAAGGTTTTTAACTCACCTTAAGTATCAAGATTAGACAAAATAAACAATTTCAGTTTGTGATGTGGCAGGTAACATTTCTTGTGCCTTTATGTTACACATGTTGCACACTAGGCGGTGTGCTGAAGTGTCCTTGGGCAAGGCACTGAACCCCCAAATAGTTCATGATGGCCGTGCCAACAGTGTATGAGTGATGGTAGAGAAAGAGCTGTACAAAGATACACTGTATGATTGTGTGTTTGAATAAGTGAACAGCAAACTATACTGTAAGGTTCTTTGAGTGATCACCAAGACTAGAACACCACTATAAAATACAGACCATTTACCATTCACACGAAGTGTCTGTCTCTCCTCATATGAATTGTGTCTTCTCATCCACAGATCAGCTTTAGCTGCAGCCATCTTGTCTTCTTCGCTCACTGGACAGACCTGGGCCATTCCTCCTGTCAGACCGAGGTCTTTCTCTGAGAGTGACCATTCAGAGTCCCTTATATCTGAACCACACATCAGCACAGCAGTTTACTCCAGGTAAACCCCCTCTGAAAAACATATTTGAGTTATCACAAGCCACCTTTTTAATCTTGCTTTTAATCTCAGCTTCAGTCTTGTTTAGGATTTTGTTGATGCCTATCATCATTTTACTTTATCCACGTGTTTTTAAAGTGTCTTCTCTGCCTTTATCTGTGTTTTTCTCTTCTACGAATATATTTGTAACATTGTAGCTTACTTCTTCTGTTCTTGTCCATGCTTGTGTTGCCTCCTTTTGTCGTTATTGAAAAGCACAATGGCTCATCTAATGCTATTTTTAACATGCTATATAAATAAATCTCACACAACTTGACTTGACAAGCTTTGTGAATAAATTATGTTATCTACACAATAAGGCTTCACGTAAATCTGATGTGTGCCAGAGCAGAAAATTGGTCCCAAATAGATCAACATAGCGCAGGATTATTCTGAGGAAATGTTTTAAGAGCAAAATAGCTTTATGCAAAATGTGGGATTTGAACTTGAATGCAAAAATATTATATTTTATATTATAATAAAGGATAAAGACTGTGTTTTTTGTCTGTTCTCAATCATCTGTTTCTCATGAAGCAGACATAAACCTTAATCTTGTGGTGAGCCTTAAAATCACTCAATCATCTGTCATTGAGGAGATTTGATATGTCACGATAGGAAAACATCGGTGGAATTTATGCAATTGATAATGGCTGATATCCATTTGACTGCTTTAGTTTCAGGGTCTGGATTTTGTACCTACTTATTCACTGTCACTCTTTCATGGCTTCTTGAATATGAATTTTGCTGTGAGAAATGCATTTTGTAGAAGTTAAAAAGGTTTTATTAGTTTTTCCCTCCAAGAAAAGAGAAATTGAATTTAAATTGAAATTCATTTTCCCTCATTATTCTTTTTGAGATATTATCTTCTTATCCTCCTCAGGGACAGATGGTCAGAGACAGATTTGCCTGTTAGGCAACGCTTGTCCTCCTCTGACCACTCAGACAAGGAGCTGGAAGACAAGGAAGACAAGGAAGACAAGGAAGACAAGGAAGAGGAGGAGGAGGAGGATGAAGAGGACAGAGAGGACCATATCTACCAAACACTGGATGGAGGGGACACTTGTTCACTCACAGAACCTGTTTATGCTCTGCCACTAAAACCAAAGGTAGGATTCAACTCAAAGATCGGATTCAACTCAAAGATCTTGTCTTCGTGTAAGTTTTTGACTAGAATGATTATTGTTCTGATCTCAGCAGCAAAACTCTTGTCACTGAAAGCTGATCAGAAACATCCTTCCCACCATTAATAACTGTATTTTGTCAAAGAGCTTTTTAAACTTTTAAGTAGTTAACCTCAAACTGGAGTAATGACTTATACCAGAGGATTTGCACTGGACAGACATACAATGGTAATGTTACAGAAGGAATATATGACATACATGTATATACATTAGATATATTACATTAGCTGATACAGTTCCAGGGCCCTGTATGTGCACTGGTATGGCTTACTGAAACATTAAAGGTGTTTTCAGTTACACAGGTGCTTCTCAAGTTATGAGTCAGTCTCAGTCTGTTTGAGACAGGGACTCTGAATGTCTGTTTTGAGTGACTTTAATTATCTCCTTTCATACTTCATTCAGTTTGTGATACTTCTCAGTGTTTCTCCCTAGAATTCTTTCAGGCCAGGTGGTTCTCTTCAGAAAAACACATCACAAGGTGCATAAAGCAGAGAAATAGCGGGTGCTCAGAAACATAAAAGTAGCAAGCAAGACACTCATTAACATTAACAATGATTACTGAAGTATTTAATTGCATTGCTTAATGACCTTCACAATTTTGGCATATCTTGAACACAGTGATTCACTTCAACAATTTATCGTACTTGTAGACAAAATGTTAGTGTTACTTGTCACCACATTGGCATTGTTTTTTATTTTGTTAAAAAAAAAAAAGCCTTCATAATAGACTTGAGGTTCACCAAGCCAATTGTGATACCAGTGTGTTCCACAGAGAGGCACAGTCGTACACAAGATAAACATGATGTACAGTGGAGAGTCTCCTTGAACTGTAGAATTTGAAAATGTAGAATCTTATTTATAAAGCACATTTCATACACAGAGGAAGATTCAACAACAAAGAGGCAAAATGAAAAGAAATCAATGTGAAATCAGAAATGAGCCAAATAAAAGGGATTAAATAGAGAAGAATAAAAGGAGTCAAAGAAATGAAAATAATCGGAGTAAATAAGTTGGTGGAGAAAAATAATACAAATAAAGTTAATAGAAATGTGCAAAATAATAGAAATAGAATATAGACAATGATGGGATGGCCTTGTAAAATAGACTAGTTAAAGGCACTAGTGAATAAAAACGGTTTTCAATCTGGTTTTAAAAACTGCAATGGAAGAAAATTCCTATGACCCTTAGGCATGCAGTTGTTTTGAGTACTGCAAACGTATAGCTTGCAGTATTGAGATAGTTTTCAATACTCAGTGTTACTTCATCAGTTTTGCTTGTGATTTACTTTTGGCTGTTGTTGCTATGTCTGTGTCAGTGCAGATTATCTGCTTTTGTCATTGAGCTATTTACTAACATTTCTCCAATTGCTATACAACATAATTTTACAGAGCCTCCCACTAAAGCTCCATTATTTCAGGCGATTACCTCTTGTTCCAACCTGCATGCTGCCTGGAAACCTGTAGTTGTAATTGTAACTCATAGAAGTCTCTGACTCCAGTGTCTTAGCCACACATCTGAAATATATTTCTCTCTGTGTCTGAAATGGTTTCCTTTACCGAATCATCATAAAGTATTTTTGCTATGGTCTAAACAGTATATGTCATTTCTCCTTGTTATGCCCCAGGGATTATATCCCCCAGAGTCTGCACAGACTTGTAGGATATTGTTCAGTTGATGTTCTGGTCCTGTACACTGCTACCTCGGGTGTTTAGCCCATAATGGCCCCAATGGGCTCTATTTTCCTGTTAGTCATCTCTCCAGGCTGTTGCGGGGTTGAGCTGCCCACTGGGTTATTCACAACAATACTCTGTACAAGTTAGTTGAAAACATTTAATCTAAAAAGAAAATGATGTTTCTGTTCATTGTACCATATAAAGTAAGCAGTTGGTGCACAGTAAAGCAGTTGATATTTTAGAGTCAGAGCAATGACAAATGTACAACCACACAAATAGGATCCACAAGAATGATGAGGCTATACCTTATATACCTTAAGGAATCAGGACTGTAAACAAACAATCACATTTATCAGCTGCTGTGTTTATTATTCAGGATGAGGAAGTGAAAAAAAATGACTGCACTGCTGAAGTGTTGTATAGTATTCCTTCTAATCACATTGTAGTTATGCCCCAGGCCATTCGACTTATAATTGTGGTGTGAAACCAACAGGTACTGAGCAGCCTTCCTTAGTCATGTATTTTATATCTTTTTCAGTCCTTCACATCAAACTTCCCACTGCGACTCATTCTCATTGCTTTAATGTGTCAATTAACGCACAAGATCCTATTGTGCACATTCAACAATGGCCATAAATGCAGTGGTCTCTGAAATAGCCTTGTACAAATGGGTTACAGCAGAGCTTTGGAAATCAGTTTGAAAAGATTAACTCACTGCCTATCTGTCTGTCTGACTGACTGACTGCTTTTCTCTCCGACTGTCTGACTGACTGCCTTTCTCTCTGACTGACTGTCTGACCATCTGCCTGACTGTCTGTCTATTTATCTGTCTTCCAGACCAGAACGTCTCAGCCTGCTCAGATGTCTGGTAGACGACTGCCTGCACCAGGTACTTCACACCAATGAGAGATGGGTTAACACCATTTTAGTCATATAGTATGAACACAGTAGTGATTAACCCATAATGTATTGGTTATCGTAAAAAAGCCAAACCTGAGTTAACTTGCATGTTGCACAGCACAATAAAGAAACGTCAATAGTCATTATCTCCACATTGTAGATTTCCAACTGGCTATCTTGGAAAAGATAAATGATGAAAGATCTCCCATTTGGCTGTTGAATTTTTAATTTGTAAGGCATACTGTGGAGTGGCAAGATGGTGTGGAGGCTAGCACTGTCGCCTCATGGTGAGATGGTTCCCAGGTCGAATCCTGGTTTGTGGATATTTTCTAGCTTCCACAGTCCAAAGACTGACAGATTTGAGTTAGGTTAATTGCAGACTCTAAATTGGAGTGAATGGTTTGTCTCTGTATGTTAGCCCTGTGATGCGCTGGGTGTTGCTGTACCCCACCTCTCGTCCAATGTCAACCAGCATTGGCTCCCCCAGTGACCCTCAAGACATGTATCGATGTCATACTGAAATGTATTAATCAGCACTAATCCAGAGATGCTTGGAACTCAGCCCATTTAAAGAAGTTACAGAAAGATGGGCAAATTGATTTCAGAAATCATGTCCATACAGTGAATCCAACATTCTCAGCTTCACCATATTTTACTCCACTGCCTTGAGCAAAAAGAGACAGCTCCTATTCAACCAACACGCTGGTTCTCAACAGCCACAATGTAGCTCTAGCTCATTAAAGCTAAATGGAAATGCTCATTGTAGCTGTTATCACCAGAGCTGGCTTCAGACTTTCGATGGTGCTAAATTAAAACCTTTAAAGATGCTCCTACCTTAATCACTAAGGAGTGTATGCTACATAGAGGCAGCATGCAACACATTCCAGCATTCAATGGGGAATGTCATTACAATGTGCAGTTAACTGTAAAATTGAGTTATATAATCAAACTCCTGCTATTTTATTCATTTGATAATCATGATCTTGTATCACAGATTTCACTGAGGAAACCATTGCTCAGTCTCCTGAGGCCAGCTGTGATTCCTCTAAGAAGAAAATCAGGAAGAGCTCCTGCAGGCAGAAAGAAGATGAACAGGGTGGGTGGAGATTGTAAAGCTGCAGTTGTCTTGTCATTTTAACTTCAGTTTTTATTTTTCTCATTTAGCTAAATCCCTAAAAATCCAACTTGCAAAGCACCTTGATTTGTGTGTCTTTATATATTGAATTTTAAAGGTCCAGTGTGTAAGATTTAGGTGAAAGGGAACTATTGGCAGAAATTTAATGTAGAATAATCCTCATGATGTTTTCACTAGTTTGTCTCATCTAAATTGTATGAATTGTAGTTTTCTTTACACCAGAAAAGGCCCTTTATATTTAAATACTTTATATTTACATCAAGGGGACCCTCTCTACGGAGGCTGCCATGTTTTTTACATTAGTCCAGACTGGACAAACTAAACACCTTTAGACTTTAAATAAACAATTAAAGGCTACCACAGTTTCGTTTTCATGTTTGGAAGGAGAGGGTGAGGTGAGGGGTGTTCAGCTTCAACATGGAACTTCAACACTAGATATCACAAAATTCTTCACATTGGACCTTTAAAGAGATGATCCACATTCATTCCTCCCTTCCCATCGTGCTGTAATCAGCAGCAGAATGAGCTCTCTGCAGCACTGATGCTCTCAGTGAATTCACAGTAACACAGCCTATGATTAAACAGCCAATGATTACTCTTCATTCACCTCATACTATTGTTCATTGGTATCACTTCTGCCTGCTGCTGTTGACTGGTCGTGCTGCCCTCTCCCTTTTTGTCGTCAAAATGTTGTGACAGATCAGTATTTTCTGATGCCAATTGTAGACTGTATCTGTTGTATAATGCCTTTTGTCATTTAAAAACATTAAGAATAAGCATGGTAGATTCAGTTGTATTTACTGTTGCAGAATCCCTGCAAATCCCTCTGAGATGAGATGATCATGTAGCATGAAAACTCAACCAAGAAAGTAAATGGTAGAAACTTTAGCACATGACCTGTTGACAGTAGATTCATTTCACTGTTGATCTCATGTTTTCCTTTTCCCTTTCTCTTTTCTAATCTGTCCTTGTGTCAGTAGTGTTCTTGTTGTGCTTTCTGCATTTGTGTGTGATTTCTGTCTTGAGATTAAAACTTTGTATCACAATTCAAGTGGCCAAATATATCATGGTTATTACATTGAAGAAGCAAGGCTTTAGCTTGCCAAAGATGTCATGTCAGGCTCGTAAACGCACACATGGAGCGAAGTGGAGCCAGAGTGAAGGAAAGAAGGTTGAGTCAGGATAGAATATCAACGTATGTTAAATTTGGCATTTTGGTGACAGTGGATGCTAGTATTCGCTAGCTATCGCAATAGCAGTAGCAGCTCTCCTGCTATTAAAGCCCCCTTTCCCCCCTCTCCCTCACTCCCCAGTCCGCCCACCACTAATAAATCTGTAGCTTTGCCACTAATGTAACCTGAGCCATTGTTAAGTGACAGTCAAATTAATATGCTTTATTTTAAATGTATAACAGCTTGAGAAATGTATCTTACTCCCCACAATTTAACAACCATGTGAAATACTGGCTTTTAAGTATTTCAAGAAGTAATCCTCAGTCTGTATTAAGACTACTTGTTTTAGAAATATAATACATTTTAGTTTATTGTACCATCTCATTTACTGTGTTTTCCTTTCATATTTCAGCTGTGCCACCCATCCTAACCACTGACCTCCCCAGCCAAGCCAAAAACCAAAAACACCCCACCCAGCCATCTCCAGAGCACCGCAAGGCGCACGGTGGGGTGCAAAGGGAGGCAGCACGAGCCCTGCCAAAGAAAGCGAGAGTGGCAGATGAACAAAAGCTACTGGAGGAGAGACTGCTACGCTTGGAACAGCAGATCAGTCACAGCCAAGCCTCCTCAACCCTGAGGTCCTCTGCAGGTTGAGTGAAGGAACCCACTGGAACACACACACACACACACAGAATTGACAGATTGAAAGAGGGAGTAACAGAGGCAAATGGATGAAAGGAAATAAGGAACCGAGGGAGTGGCGCTGTGAGTCACATAGATAGATGCATGTGCAAGGGTGAAAGGAAGGTGCTGGAGATGCTGCTGTTAGTGGATGTGGCTCAGATCCTTGATCTCTGCCTTTACTCCTTAGCATGATCAGAAGAAGAGGGGGAGGCAGCAATGAAAAGAATCATGAAATTGAAGACAGGAGAGATTTTAAAGGTGGGTTAAAAATTGTCAGTCTAAATGGGTAGCAGGTTGGCTTGATGGTTAGTGACTATGATTTCCTGGTGGGCAGGAGAAAGCAGTATGGAATGTTACTGGAGTTTTCTTGCCAATTACTGCTAGTGATGCATTGATTATGTACTTTACATATTAACCCTTTTACTCAGGTTGAGGTTCAGTGTCAGCCAGCAGACCACAGTGTCTCACTTAGCCATCCTACAATACACTGTAGTGTAGCTTTCAACTTCGGTTTTCTCCTCCTATAATATTGAGCATGGAATATCGAGATTCATAACTTATTCTAGTGCATTCTATTTGAATATCATACAACTATTCTATAATGTATGAAAAATATGTATATGCTGATGTATTGTGCTTCCAGGCAGTCAGGCAGAGCTGCAGAATTTGAGGCAACATGCTCAGGAGCTGGTGGATGAAAATGACGCCCTCAAATTGACAGTTCACCGTCTGAATGTGGAGCTGAGCCGCTATCAAACCCGCTTCAGACCGCTGTCCAAACAGGAGGTATGACAAGATACAAGCAGAAGTCATCTGCTTCTGAGAACTACCTTGATTTATATGTGTGAAGTGAACTTCTCATGTTTGACTGTTAAAATGTAATTTACAAAGTGAAAATTTGTGAATGCGACTCGAATTTTGGTAGAAAGTGTAGAAAAACTGGCTTTACCTGTAGCTTAGAACCACTACTCATCAAGGAATTGTACCAGCAAACTCTCCACATCTCAGCCTGTCTAAAGTTACCATAGTTAAAGTGTAACTTCTTCAATAAGTTCTGGCTGATGTGTCTCTCCCTGAAAATTCGGAAAATGCCTTTAGAACGCAAGACCACTGGCACAGGCGGCACAAGTGGCAGGAGAGGATTGGGGACGTCTACCGACAATGTGGTGGTTTAAATTTGAAAAGGAATGCAGCTTCCCAGATTCCCACCACCATCATGACATATATAAATGTGAGACATCCCAAATGGTTGATTCTATGTAAGCATTGATCCTGGAAGGTCCAAGACGGTTTGAAAAACTGGGTGGCGTTATGAGCCATGTTCAAACCATAAATGTAAGATTTTTCATATATATGGTAATATATGTGAAATTAAATGATGCATTTCATTAAAGAACAGTGATAAAGTTGAGCTGAAAAAACACATTTAGGTGTGCATCTCTTTATATTAGACCAGGTTTGACTCCCCATCTGCTCTTCAGTATCAGGAAGATTTATCCTGGCGTGTAGTCCATTCTCACTTCTGCCCATCATCTAAATCAATTAAACAAAATCCATTAGCACTTTATTTTCAGCACTAAAATAATTTCTTATAACCAGGCCTTTAAGATTGAAATCTGCCTTTGAACCAGTTTCCTGCTGAGCAAAACTCTCTGTCTGTCCCTCCATCTGATTTGTCGGACTAAAGGAGTTTCTTGTTTCTGTCTGTACATTCTGGGCTGTGTGTGTGTGTGTGCGCTACACTGCAGAAGAAAATCCAGCCTGTGATTTTATTCATGGCTACCTCATGCTGTGCCTTCACACCGGGGGAGATTTCCTGCTCCCATCGTTACCAGTTTGCTTCATATGTAGCTGCATGTCCCTGCAAGACCTCATTAATGACAGCTGAAATGTGACCGGTGGAGGGAAAGATAAAGGGATAAAAGGAGGGCAATTAATAATTTTACTGTAAAATATTTCAATAGTGAAAGCAGTTGGAATTAGTTTAATTAGCTTAAAGTGCATGCTTCCTTATAGGCTTTATAAAGATTGTACTTTTCTTTTGAATACCACATGGATTCTCTTGTTATAAAATTGTAATTCCCTTTATTATAGAAAATGGGGGTATAGGTTTCCTGTGAATTTTCTCCATAACCTGTAAACCCAAAAATATTATTGTGTTCTTAAGTAACATAAACTTTTTGTGGTCTAGGTTTGGTATATGGTATATAGAAAATATATATGGTATGCACTAGACTTAAAGCTAGGGTTGGTAATCCTAGAAAAGCTAACAAGAGCAGGCTACACTGAAACGCAAACGATACATCCCACCACCTCTTCAAAGCTTCGCCCTGAAAACACAAAAACGTGCACGGATAATCGTCTGAATGCGATGATTGGTCGTGTTAATTACAGTTCTGCGAGGGCCACAGACACCAGATATTTTTGGCTGTCAGGACATGGTGAGGATTTCTACAAATAAAACCAAAAGTAATTCAGAAACAAATTACTAACATACCTTCTAAACCCCCTGGTTCTGTCAGCATAAGATTAACATTGTGGTTGTATGAACGATAACATTCCATGCTAATCCACAGTGGTGTCATGATTGTCTGCTCAGGACGGCTTCGCTAGCTCACTTTCGTAGCAAAACAGTGGAACATTACTGGCTTACTTTACTGATAGGTCAAGAGGGCATGCAACAGGTCAAGCTTACAGTGATCGCTGGATCAGGAGACAACTTAAGTTGTTCTGATGTGCTGCTACACTCTCATAATCTGAATTCGAATGGGTCATTACAGTTCAAATACAAACTTTTCCTCCATGTTCAAATGATGTTGGAATGGTATAACTGTTCCTGCTTTTTCTTTCTTTCTCTTTCTTTTCTCTCATGCAGAGCTCCAAAATCAGTGGCTTACCAAAGACAGGCTCTCCTCCTCCCTGGCTGGTCAGTATCTGTATTGTAGCATTATTACATTAACATGGCAGCACAGTAATTTAACTGTGTAGTTGGTTAAAATAAACATTTTGCTAATCAGTTTAAGCAAGTTCAGCCATGCACTTTTTAATATGCTGGAGGATAGATGGTGCCTATTAAGTTAAAACAGTTGGGTGGGATTTAATGTGGGACATCATACCTGCTCTGTCTGACAGTTTGAGTGCTCGGGGACAGAGTCACTAAATCTGTGACTTCAAGGCTTTATCACTCCAATGACCAAATCATAATAGCATGTTGTTTACTATCCACAATGACTGGAAACCTGCTGAACAGATAAATACATTTGGACATTGGTATGGTTAAGACTTTTCAACATTTCGATTCCTGCCACAAGTCTTATATACAATAGATTAATGACTTTTAATGTAGATCATTTATGTCATGTCTGTTTGTCTCTTTTGTGTAGCTCGACATTAAGTATTTGTCTCCTCTACTGCTGGCATACGAAGACAGGATGAACGAGAGAGATGCACTTCTGCAAACCACAGAGGTAAAGTGACTGATTGTATGCAGTCATGTGAGTTTCTTCTTATTACCACCTCAATCATCTGTCACATTAGCTTTCATGAGTATGTGAAATGGGCTGTGTTATCAGAGACATGAGCAGCAAACAGTTAATCAACATTTAATGTCCTGTCTTCGATATACACAGCCCATGGGAAAAAACCTGCAATTCACTTGGTGGGGATTATGAGCGATTATAATTCAAGTGCTGGTATGTTTCTGAAAGCTATTTTTAGCTGATTTTGACTCACAGTCAGAGTCTTCGAGGTTGGGTAAACACCCCTGTAATCACACTATGAAAGCAAACCTTAAACATTTATATGTTAATGTTTATGCTAAATATTTTGCTGATGAATAATATAGAACATAAAGGCTGTGTTACTGCCTCCACCAAGGTGGACATATTTTTGTTTTGTCTGTCTGTCTGTCTGTGAGCAGTAATAGTGCGGGGTAGATTACGCAAAAACTACCAGACAAATTACCCAAATACTTGGTGGAAGGATGTGGTGCAAATCAGGAAAGAGCCCGTTAGATTCTGGTGCAGTTCCCAAAAGATCCAAAAATGTGATTTCCCTTTCTCTGCAGCACTTCCCACAGAATGTATTAAATCTATTGCTGTAGGACAGAGTGCACACACACAAACTCATGCACGGAAGACCACATTTTTTTTTGTGAAAGAGAGAACTGCAACACATGCCGCTTGGGGGTACATGCACAGCTACAACTAAAACTATATGGTTTGCCTATCTGCGTGGAGAGCAACAACTTGATGGACCGGTCCACGAGAGGGCATGCAGCAAATAGTGCTGCAAATAGCTACAGTATGTAATGCAGCAGTGGAGCAAAATAACAAACTCTCTTATGAAGGAGAAAGTGTGAACTTTTTTGTTCATTATGAAACTGTGGAAGCAAAAATTAATATACACTGTATGACCGGCCACCACAGTCTACATAATTAATTGGAAACACTGCTTTGAGATGGTGAATTAGGGCATCAGCCATGGCTAATAAATGTTCATTACAGTACAAATGTAAAGTGTGCATTCTCAGAGCACCCACTCTAGTTTTATTGGTTGCAAAGCTGTTATTTTAAATGGTGAAGTGAAATTTAAATTTAGTTTTTTCACCTAAAGCAAAAAGATGTCAGGGACTCACACACTGCATAGCACGTAACTCTTGTCAACAACAACATCAACTGGGGCGCTCTCTCACTGTCTTGCCAAATGAGCCTGTTCACCTGGGTGTCATGTTTCCATCATGCAGCAGATTGGAGTCGAAGCAGATTAAAACCCTCTATTGCAAAGTCATTTGATCTGGGAGCGAATGCTGATTGTACCCATTCCCATTGCAGACAAAAGCTAGATGTTAGTGGGTGTTGGTGTTTTTTTTAACAGTAGGGAAAAATGGGCTTTATTTTTCTGCACAAAACCTAGATGCTGGCACACATCTGTGGCTCTGTTTCTTTAAACACAGTTTGATTACTGTAAATCAGTTCACAAAAAAAGTCTCTCGCAAATTACAGTAGCATTTTTTAAATGAATTTCTTGATTTCGTTTTTGACAGTGTTCTGGCCAACCATTTACTAGGTAAGAAAACAATTGCCCCGTGGCTAAACATACTTGCTGACTTCTGCACTAGGTGGATCTCTAGTCCTCGCAGAGATGTGGAGGTAGAATAAGACTTTTATTTTGTTCTGAAATCAGAGGTCTTATGCGTCTTTGTCTGCTTCTCGCAGGAAGAGGTTAAGAGGTTGCGTGTTCATGTGGAGGAGGTGATCAAAGAAAATGAGAGACTCCATGATGAAATTGCAAAGATTGGAGGGGTCAGCCAGAAGGATTGGTAAGAAAAAATACTGTGTTTTTGTACTTCAGAATGGTCAGTACTTACTTGTCTCTACCTCCTGTATTCTCTATTTCTCTGCTGCTTGCTCGTCTTTCTGTCTGTTACTAAAGCTTATACTGCATTGAATAACAAACCGAAAGCAGTAAAGCCTTTGAATTCTCCTCTCTGCTCCTATATATTCACCATCACTTCTCCTGCTTTCATGATCCCTCTAGGTATAATATTGCTGATGCCTACAATCTTATAGTATCTAAATGTTGTAAATAGCTCTGGTAAGTCAGATAATAACACTCTCTTTACACATGACACAGCTGCAGTAGGAGACTGGGTGTGAGTGGAAAGTGGTACCTATTGTGCCCTGACCAATAAAAGAATTTTAACTACCTCCCTGGCTCAGTGTGAGTGTGTCTGATGTAAGCCCTGAGGCTTCCCTTTGTCTACAGCTCAACTGTTTCACTCCATCCTGCATTTACTCGGAATGGACTTTACTTCGAAACTGTGAGCAATCTGTGATGAAGTGTTAGTACATAGAAGATTACATGTAACATAATTGTGCTACATAATACAATGATTTAAAAAATGTTGGGTGGTTACAAGGATCCATATAAATGCAGCATGTAGTACCAATACATTTTGATACTACACTGTATGTTGGTGGCTTAATTAATCTTAAACATTTTACAGCAGCTCAGTAAGATCCTTTCACTTGCAGGAAACGCACTGAGGCACAGAAGCTAGCACCACTTCTTTTTCTGTCAGGGGAACGTTGGACATGATGTACTGACAGACAGGAGTTTGTGCAGCCGGCACAAACACAATAATTTGATGCATGATCACAGAAGGTGAAATGCAATGTAAAACTACAGAGAGCTCTTTTTCTTAAAACACAATCTCTCAGACTCACTACCAACTACTGTGAATTTTACAGTACAGATGACTCCCCTATGCCAGGTTGGAAAAAAGCATTTGGAGATTTTGCTATAATTCTCCACTTTTTGATCTAAATTCTGTTTGCTCTAAATTCTTCCACTAATGTCTAACCCTAACCCTGAATAAACGTTTTGAATGATGATTTTCAAACAATGCTAAGTTGCAAGTTGCTCTTTAAAAGAATACTTATTCTCAACGTTCCAGTGGTCATAAGGTAGTCGATTCCCTTCTCAAAAAGATAGAACATGTTCTGTACCAATTAAAAGAGGGACAGGCTGTTTTGTCAGAAAATGTGTAACTGCTGTTTTCATAATGTTCAGCCTTGTGTTCTGCTAATTCAGTATTAACATAAGCTCTCTCTCTTTCCCTCTTTACCTCTGCAGTCAACAGCTACAACAACAGGCCTTTTTGGTTTTACAAGAGAACCAGGTTTTGATAAATCAGCTTGAGGCGCAGCACGTTAAGGCCAAGGACAACCACAGCAGACACCACTGTGAAGGTATACTGGGTAGAGTCTGAGATGTGAAAATGTGAAAATGAAATGAATTCTTTATAGGTAAATGTAAAGGCAGCTGCAAGTAAAAATCATTTGTAAGTATATGTTTAGCATTCCTCTCTTTCACTGTGGCCCTGTGGCCTTTTCTCTGTTCTTTTTTGCTTTCAGTTAGACTGTGTACTATACTCACTGTTCCCTCTCCTCTCTTTCCTCTCTTTGTAGTGTCCAAGGTGTCTAAGCAGCTGATGTTGTTAGAGGCAGAAAATCAGCGTTTTCAGGAGGAACTGGAAGAGAGCAGGAGGGAGACGCAGAAAAATACAAGGCAGGTCCAAGTCCTGCAGGCCCGCCTGAAGGATGCTATCACCTGGGACGAACACTGCAGCATTGCTGGAAAACTCAGAGGGTAAGGTGTCTTATTTTATCAAATATTTCTTATCTAACATATGAATAAGTTAGTATTAGCAGCTGTTCTGCACCTGAGCAAGGGCACATTTCTTTTCAGAAGGAGACAAACAAGGAGAAACAGGAAAACACATCCCTTTAAGAAACATGTGGCAAAGTTATACTGAAAACAAATTTCTGCTGACTACACAAACTATTACCAACAGGCTATCCATTAACATTGGCTCCTGCAGAGTTCATCATCTTTATCTACCAAATATGTTTGACATGACCTCATCTAAGTTTAAGTTCAGGTTATTATTCATTCAGTTTACAATCGATTTGCAGCATATAAAACAAGACAAGAAGAAAAAAATGCATGATGAATTTAATCAGGTTGTAGGAGAGAAGCTGAAACGGTTTTGTTTAGTGTTACGCCTGGGTCTGAGGCCGCAACAACACATAGACAAGGCAGCGTGATGTAGCGAATTACAATATGCTTTATTGATTTAACACCAATAAAAGACACTGAGCGATGGAGTGTGAAAGTGAGCGTCAGTAGTGTGTGAGGGTGTTTGAGTGCTATGTAGTATGTGTGGTGCATGTTGTCAGGTGCAGAACATAACAAAAGTAAGTGCAGCAGGATGGAGATCTCAGCGCTGAGTGAGAGAGAGAGAGACAGCCCATGGCAGGGGGTTTATATCAGCAAGCCAATCAGGGAGCCATGCACAGGAACTTCCAGCCGGCCAACAATCAGCAACCTGCAAGACACATCCACACAGCATACACACCATACACAGACAGGACACAGGCATGGGCTGGGGCCGTAACATTTAGAATAAAAATTGAGCAGAAAATTGTGATTTCTACAAATCATTCCAAATTAGCAAAGTATGCAAGTTAGCAGGATTATTACAACGTAAACAAATCACTTTATACTGGTGCTTAAAAGAGGCCTGGACACATCTTGTTCATAAGTGTCCACCAAGATGTCGTGTTATAATCTGCTCTTGCCACTCAGGCAGCTGGAGCAGCAGGAGAAGCAGGAGAACAGGAACAAGAGTTCGATGGACGAGCTGCTTCTGCGCGTGTCCAGTCTGCAGGACGAGAACAGGAGTCTGGCTCTGGACAAAGCCAACCTGAGCGCTGATATAAAGAGAATGGAGGCTGAGCTGGAGCTCTGCAGACAAGACAATAGGTACTAAATGTTCCATGTTCTTTGTCTGCTTTCATCTGACACGCAAATGCTGGTGGATGCCACACAAATCCTTGATGACTCTGACTTCTCATAGATGATTTAATGGTGAATTGAGTCATCCCAGGATCAATTGCATTTGTTTGTATTTCCGACCTAACGTTATCTAAAAAATGTACAGTAGAATTAAAACAATTAGGGTACAGTTGAAGTCAATAAAAGAGGATTGAGGTTGGTTCTCCAGGTGTTTCATTATATTATAGCATAAAGCCATTTTATTATTTTGTTGAATTCTGTAGAATGACTGTTCACCTGTCGTCCACCCACACAAGTGTTCTCACTCTTTAGCTTGTTAAAGGCTCTTCTGTGTGGGAGTGTACACACGCTGTTTGATTGACATCTCCCTCAGTCTGTTCTGTTCTGTTGCAACAGTACATGCATGGAAACTCATATGTTGAACTTTTTCTTATTAGTGCCTGACGTTTGGATGATCTTGCATCATAGTATAGCTCTGCCCAAGTAGAGTAGTTCAGTCAGGTTGTAGAGCTGGTTCTGAAGGTTATGATTGACGTGGACCTTCGCATTCTGAAGTGTGAAGACGGTCAGGAGGTGTTTGTTTGATTAGCAAACAGTGTTTCACCCTGCCTGCATGAAGACGATGGGGTTTCAAGATATCATTCAGCAAACTCTAGCTTCTCTCTTCTGTACCGTGTTTCCTGTGCTCTTATCTGTCCTTTCCCTGATATTTTGCCATTTGTTGTTTTTCCTAAATCTCCTTCTCTCTTCACTGTGTTTGTCCTCCTTTGTTTGACCTGTTTCTCCATTCTTCATCACTCTTTAATTCTCTTTCACCTATTCCCTTCTTATCTTTTGTTTTTTCATCTTCCAGGAAGGCTGGGCAGAGGATGTGTGCGTTGAAACTGCAAAAGGAAGAGTGTGTGTTAAAGGCGAAAAAGACTCGTCATTATCTCGGAGCTGTAATTTCTCTGGCGGAGCACATTTCCCAGGAGAGGGACCAACTACAACACATGGTACTTCTTATGCTACTGATACTGTATAATAATTTTGTATAATTTATTGTACACATGGTACTTCTGATGTCCTAAACCAAATAATACCAGGTTTGTATTTACACAGAAGTATATAATATTCCCCTGACACTTCTGTAATTGCAGGGAAATGAGGTATTAGATTTTGTGTATTTCAGCAGAACATACAACACGCAGCACACAGATTACACCATATGGACAAAGGTATTGGGACACCTACACATTACACCTACAGGAGTCTGAAGACATCTCATTCGAAATCAATAGGTATTAATATGGGGTTGCCCCCCCCCCCCCCCCCCCCAGTTCATCCCATAGGTGTTCCATGGGGTTGAGGTCAGGGCTCTGTGCAGGCCAGTGAAGTTCATTCACACCAGACTAACCCAACCTTGCTTTGTGCACTGGGGCAGAGTCATGCTGGAACAGAAAACGGCCTTCTCCAAACTGTTCCCTGAAACTTGGAAGCATAGAATTGTCCAAAATGTCTTGGTCAGCTGAAGCATTAAGGTTTCCCTTCACTGGAACTAAGGGGCCTAGTCCAACCAATGGCAATGGGACTGAATGAAACGCCTGAATTCAACGATTAAGAGGTGCCCAGTACTTCACAAATAATAACATTCAAAGTTTGAAAATGAATGCTAACTGGCCAAACATGACATGAAATCAAATGTTTTCTTTTTTTAACCATCGTTTGTATTAAAGGCTCAGTGTGTAGAATTTAGTGACATCTAGAGGTGAAGTTGCATGTTGCAGCTGAACACTCCTCATCTCACCCTCCCCTTTCAAACATGAAAGAGAACCTGTGGTGAACTTCAGTTGTCATGAAAACTCAAAATGTGTTTAGTTTGTCCAGTCTGGACGACAGTAAAAAACATGGCAGCCTCCACAGAGAGGACCCCTCCTCCATGTAAATATAAAGGGTCCATTCTATGGTAAAGAAAACCACAATTCATACAATTTAGATAAAACACAAAAGGACTTAATGGTTTTAATACAGCAGTTGTTTCAGTGAGACTAATGGCTGGATCTTACACCCAGTGCAAAGCAGTAATAGGCACAATGTGCAAAGTGTCTCTGTTTATTCCAGACTGATGCAGATGTTAAAATCTTGTCCACTCTTTATAACTATTATAAAATTTTAGAACAAACATCCACTTGGACTAAAAGACAATCTGATTTGAATTTAGTCGTCAAGTCTAATATTTAATACCTGTTTAAATACCTTCAAAGTCTTCACCTGGTATATTATATGAGTCTGGACATACATGGATGTAATCTGCAACTTTACTGGTTTACTGAGGGTGCACAACTACAAGGAAGTCATTTTAGTTTAAACAGGAAAACATGCATGTCCCTTTATCTGTTGCTCACTGTTATCTCTGGTATTAACAAATCGAATTTCCCAAATCCAAAGTCTCCCTCTATGATATCATTATATTTGCCACATTTTAAAAGGAACCAATTTGCTGTGACCGTAGACTCCCCCCTCTGTTGGTAGTCAGGGCTTTGTGCATGGTACTCATTCTTTGATTAGTTCTTGGTCATCATCTATCTTCTTCTTAGAATTGCAGAGATATTGACCAAATTGCACTTATGTTTTGGAATTCTGATTTTAATCGTTTACAGTGGGCATCTTTTGTTGATTTAATGATTTTGTTTGAGACAGTACTGAGTGTTATATGATAAGTACTATTCTTTTTTAGTGCCTGTTTGATGGCTAAACTTGAGATATATCCAACATTTAGACATTATTTCTTTTTAATGTTAGTAATCAGTGTGTAATGGCCAAATTCTGCCCTGCATGTATTGGTTTATTTTTAATGTTTAATATGGTACATGTTCTCAAAGGGAAGCTGAAGGCTCATTGCTTGGATTAGACTGTCCAAATTCTAATAAGGTTTCTTCTAATGGCATTAAATGCTCCACATGCTTTTTGTTTCATTGCATTTACTACCAGAATAGATGGCTGTTTCCATATTGGTTTTTGGTTTACTGAGATCTGGGCTTTTTTTAGGAAGATAATGATTTCGATTTGTTAAAGTTGAATATTGGTAGGGACCCATTTGTGTCAGCACTGCTCCAGGACGTTATGGTGTTATAGTCCTGGGTCATTAGCAGAGAGCAGGAATTCAACCACTTTATTAAAAAGGGTTAAGCGTGAGGCTTCATCATTCATTGATTGGGTGTAAACATGGGCAAAAGTGCATTGATTTGATAAAAACTAAATTTGCAATTGAATTAATTCATTGTACACCATATAGAGCCAGCATTCAGGAATTTATAATACTCTTCCTCACTCACTGGCTTCACCTGTTGTTGATTGTGTGCTTTGCATCTTTTGTTGACATTTCCATTATTCCAACCATTTATCCAACTCCTTATTGAATTTTAATGAATGAATTAAGCCTAAAGATTTGTATATACAATAATTTTATAAGTAGCAGATGTTTTGTGTGAGTTGAACAGTAGGTCGGGTACATTTGTTTGTGAATGACATTTTGTTTTCAGCGTTGATAATCTCTGAGGATCCCAACGCTGAACTTTGTTTATATCGAGCTCCCACTCACTTGCAGAATGCTTCTTGTGGGCAATAATGAGCTGCTATACTCTAGTAAAATTAGTCCAAGAGTGCACATAGAATAATAATCTTCATGTCGGTAATTCTGGCTAAAACTAGTGGAGGTGTGGAAAATATACAGACTGCCAAATCATGCCACATAATTTTGAGAAAATGGTGCACTCCCTCCAGGAAAGAGGATTAAATATACTCTCACGTCACGTAAACTAACTGAGGTAGCTTTATTTTTAGCAGGCTGCTGACAGACACCCAAACAAGATGATAATTAACAGAAAAAATGTTTTATTTGCCCAGTTTGGTTAAAGATTAAAATCAGTTAATTATACTACCAGTCTACTAAGACAATAAATGATTAGAACAAAGGAGATCCCCCACAACAATAATTTGTTTTATTTTTAGCAGAAAAATAGTGGGTTGGGGAATATTGTAT